TTGGTGAGGATTGGATTTACGGGGTCCAAGCTTAGGCTTCCCAAATCGACCCGGGGGGCGGGGAATCCCCCGCTTCGGAGCTCGTCGGGGGGGGGAAACCATATGGTTTTCCCCCGGACGAGCTCAGCCACGCCCCCAACGTCAGGAACGTCACACGTCACTTCCTGAGATGCCCTCAGGAAAGTGCTTTTGGGGAAAATGTCAGGTACAGGTTCAAAGTGTATTGAATGGGCACACACCAAATGCACAGGGAACTTCACCCTGCCACCAACTCCTCTATAATCTCCCCTGTTGCTTTGAAGTTTGGTGAATATTTTGATTGAGTTGAGACAGTCTGGCAACATATCCATTCACAAAGCATCTAAAGGAATAACACACAGTCCCAAAGCAGTCAGGTATGAAAAAAAATATACAGACGTGTGCTAGATGCCCACAGAACAATACAACAACAAATGAGACTATATTAAAGCCATAACATATTTAGTATCTGGTAATATGTTGTTTGTCTTTATTACCAGGCACTAAATATGTTATGGTTTTAATATAGTCTCATTTGTTGCTGTATTGTTCTGTGGGCATCTAGCACACGTCTGTATATATTTTTTTCATACCTGGGCTGACTCCATTCACAAACCACCAGCAACCACTTGAAAGTTCATGGAAAGTTCATGTCAGTTGACCAGCCACAAACTTCCGTTCATGAACCGGACAAAATTCGTCATGACCTTTAGTTCGTAAGCCCGTTCGTGCCCATCCCTAGTTATAGCCAGTGAGGTCCAGTGCTCACCTGTGAGAGCTCTATTACTTTCTCATGCACCAGCTTTGAAGGAAGGGGTGCTTCCAGAGCCAGCCGCAAATATTTATTGATTCTTCTAAAGTTCCATTTATCAATATGGAATAGTAATATCTTTTAATATTTTTAATGCATGTGGGTTTTTATTTATCTATTTTATTAAATTTATAGCCTGCCCTTCCCACATAGCAGGCTTGGGGCAGGTTCCAAACACATCAATCTGCACACAGTGCAGATTTACAATTAAAATTTACAACACACAAATCAATTAAAATTTAGAACCTAAAGCAATCTAGTGCCAGATATCCAATATGCCTCAACAGATGATGTTGATACCAGTAATGTGGACCTGCGGTCCCTGGGGGGGCATATCTGGTGGATGCCTGTTGCTTCAACTGAAAACCTTACAGGCCCTGCTGGGGACAGGCCCTGCTGCGGTAACTGGGGGGGCATATCTGGTGGATGCCTGTTGCTTCAACTGAAAACCTTACAGGCCCTGTGGAAGTGTAACAGGTCCCACTGGGGGGCTCGTATAGGGCTTGATGTTCTTTATCACAAGGAATAAGATCATTGATCTGAATCAACCACCACTTTTATGGGTACATCTCCCAAGGCTACTTTTCCAGCCTTCCCCTTCCACCTTCTGATCAGTCACATCTCTCTAACATAATGTTGCATTCATGCAATAAAGCTCATACCTGAAATAAAACTTTGCTGGCCTTAAAGGTGCCACTGGACTCTAAATTTGTTAAACAATTTCATATGTTCCCACCCACCCCTGGGCCACAGGAAAGCCATCTGTAAATTGCACTGAAATCAACAGGAAAACAAATCGCAGTACATTTTCTCCAGATGTGGCCCAAGCCCTTTGAGATGTGAAGATTTCATTTCCTAATAACAGTTGCATTCTGGGAGGGGGGGTTGGGGGGTACTTCTCAGGAAAGCTGTAGGGTTTGGCTCTTGTTGGAAGAACATGGGATGAAAAGAAGAGTATGAGGCAAGACCTTTGCTCAATAGCAGCCTATCTGAATGAAAATAGCAACAGGTCCCCAAAAGGGCTATTTTGAAACATTCCAGAGCAGATTTACTGTTTAGCAATCTCTATCACAAAGAGCAAAAAGTCCTACCCAGATAAGACAATAGCAAAACTTTAGATGGAGGCATGTGAATTTCTGCTTAGACTCATGAGACCCTAGGAGACCTAGTTGCTTATTTATTTATTTAAATCAGGAGTCCCCGGCCCTTTATAAATGTTGAGGGAGCGTGGTGGGCACTACCGCAAAATGGCTGCCCTGGGAGGTAGGACCAGGGGTCATTTCCTGCAGGAGCACACAGGAGCGGAGCTCCAGCAGTAAAGAGCCCAGGGGGCGGGCACATGCAACAAGCCCCACCCCCTGCTCCCAGCAGCCCTCAGTCAGAGCAAGAAGCAGCCAGGTAAGCTGCAGAGCCCCCCCCCAATCCCCCGGTCCAAAACAGTCCAGTGGCACCTTTAAGACCAAGTTTTATTCAGGCACAAGCTCTCCCTCCTCTGTGAAGACAGATCTGCACATCCCCCCCCCCAATAGCTAGCAATCCAAAACAGTCCAGTGGAGCCTGAGCAGTGGGTGTTGCCTTCTGACACACTCCTGGTGATGTCAGGGTGTGTGGCATATGCAAATAACTTATGCTAATAGGTTATGCTAATGAGCTCCTGCACCTCTTTTTCTACGAAATGAGCCCTGGGTAGGACCAAGCACAAAATGGCTGCCACACAGGAGGGGAAATGACAAAACGTCGTGAAATCACAAGCCAAGTGTCTTCCTACGATGGGCACAACTGATTCCAAATGGATGTGCCCTGAAAACTCAAACATGATTAGCACTGCCACTTACTTGGGGGGGGGGTATTCACCACTGCTCACGTGGCCATTGAGGGACAACATGGCGAGAGGGGGAGTTGTCAGTATCCCAGTGCTCTGACACCACTCTCCATGCACCTGGAAGTGATATCAGCATGTTGCTGGGGTACCTTTATGGTTTAACTATAGAGTGTTGCCCAAATGCCTGAGAGTCCCCAGCAACCTGGTAATGCTATGACACCAGAACTGGGTGCATAGCAAATCCAATTAAAATGTTGCTGGCAATGTCATTTACATTGTTTCTAAGAGCCTCTGCTGTGGAAAGTCCCCCCCCCTGTCAGCAAGCTGTCATGGTTGATCCTTTGTATATATGCTTCACCTGTTAGGACCTCTTAACCTGCATTGCTTTCTGTATTAACTCATATGTTGATAGTTGTTGCCTAGTGACCCTTGCGCATGCTCATAAACGGCAAGCTTGTTAGCGAAACGCATAAACACTTCAAGGGCAGGTGGGAGATAAGGGAGGACGCTTATGTCTACTGCTATCGCTCAGAGCCTGGGAAGTACGATGTTTTGGAATATCCAGGCCGTTATGATTCCCATTACTTTGGCGCTGTTCTTCCCGGGCGGGAAAGTATCTCATTGGTATAGAGTCTGTTTGAACTTTGTTCATGTTACCTGCTTGATGTATTGCACGCCATTCTAAACAGAAATCTTGTTAGTGACACATCTTTTAATAAAGTCATCCTCGTGACTGAGAAGTGGCTCGTTGATTGATGGTACCCTTACACCCCCCCATAGGGATGCCAGCCTCCAGGTGGGACCTGGGGATCCCCTGGAACTACAGGTCATCACCAGACTACAGAGATCAGTCCCCTGGAGAAAATGGCTGCTTTGGAGGGTGGAGTCTACGACGTTGTACTACACTGAAATCCCTGTCCTCTCCAGGTTCCATCCCCAAATCTCCAGGAGTTTCCAAACCTGGATCTGGTACCAATGTTCCCTCTAAGCTGAATTAGTATGCGCTAGTTCATAGTTTTTTAGCCTCCAGCTCAAGAGATTTTTGCCTTAGCTCGGGAAGGATGGCTCCAGAGCAAACTAATTTTATGCAGTAGCCAAATTGCCCACTCACAATTTAATGCCAGTAGCTCACAAAGTAGGATTTTTGCTCACAGGACTCCACAGCTCACAGGGAACGTTGCCGGCAACTCTTTCCCCCATCCCCTGCTAGTTGCAAGCCTACCACTACCACCCATCAGTTCTGGCAACCCTGAATGACTCCTAGCCTCTTCTGAAGCAGTTCCTGCTCCAAGTAGGGTAAAAGAAAGCTGGGACTGGCTCGTTGTTTGGGGGTGGGGGAGATGTGGAAGAAGTAGGAGGCCAGCCAGAATCACACCAGGCCTTTGCAGTGGCAGCTCCATGCTCTTTGCATTTTGTCATGCCATGTGAAATCTCCTTGTTGGCCACCACCTGATAGAGAGCTATAAACCCATTCACAGAATGAGCTGAAAGACACTATTGGCAGTATGAAGTATACGCATTCCCAAAATACAGGGGTCATTTCCTGCAGGAGCGCACAGGAGCGGAGCTCCAGCAGTAAAGAGCCCAGGGGGTGGGCACATGCAACAAGCCCCATCCCCTGCTCCCAGCAGCCCTCAGTCAGAGCAAGAAGCAGCCAGGTAAGCTGCAGAGCCCCACCACCACCCCTGGTCCAAAACAGTCGAGTGGCACCTTTAAGACCAAGTTTTATTCAGGTACAAGTTCTCCCTCCTCTGTGAGGACAGATCTGCAGATCCCCCCCCCCCAATAGCTAGCAACCCCAAGCAGTCCAGTGGAGCCTGAGCGGTGGATGTTGCCTTCTGACATACTTCCGGTGGTGTCAGGGGGTGTGGCATATGCAAATAAGTTATGCCAATGAGTTACGCTAATGAGCTTCTGCACCTCTTTTTCTACGAAATGACCCCTGTATATACAAATGTCAAGTTCAGCGGCACCTTTAAGACCAACCAAGTTTTATTCAAGGCACGACCCTGAATAAAACTTGGTTGGTCTTAAAGGTGCCACTGAATTCAAACTTTGTGCTGCTGCTTCAGACCAACATCGCAACCCACCCAGATCTATGTGAAAATGTGTTTGCCAAGGAGAGAGGCCTGAAGGTGTTGCCCAATCCTGCATGTCTCTTGCCCAGAGACCTGCATCCCAAATCCTTTCACTTGTCAGAACAACCCTGCTGTTTCCCTTTTTACAGTTAAATCGATGTTGCAAGTTTCTGATGACTGGTGGCTAAGCTGGTAATACGGCATAACCACTTCTCCTTTTCTGAGGTATATATTGATGGGGAATTGGATAAGTTGTAGGGACAGGCAGACTGAAGAAACATTCCTGTCAAAGGTAAGATTAATCCCTTCCTGTCTCAAATATCAAATATCAAATGTCTCAAATGATGGAGCACTTGCTCCAAAAGGAGACTAGCAGATTTTCCTGTATCTTCTTTATTCCTTCCAGTCTTGTACTGTTTTGTAGGATCCTACAAATAAGAACAAAGCTGCTTAGGTGTTGACATTCCAGGAGGGAGAGAAGATGGGCTGTCATCTCCATGCAGTCATGATTCCTGCAGTGATTTCAGCACTCCTGCTTTGGGAGGGTAAGAAGGAGACTGACTCGGGAGCTGTAAGGCTCAGCAACACAGTCCTCCCTAGATGGTTGTGCTCTCTTTCTCCTCTCTTTTAGGACTGGGGTGGAGAAGGGTGTTTACTGGTTGGATGGTTGAGTTTCATTGTCTTCTCCTCACTGCAGGTGTCCAGTGCAGGACCAGGGAGTACAGCCTGGAAGTACCTTCTCAGGTGACTGTGCAAGACGGGCTCTGTGTGCTCATCCCGTGCAATTTCACTTATCCTGTGTCACGTGATGACCGGCATGCCCACTTGTACGGGTATTGGTATGTGGAAAACCAGCAAAGTAGGCGGCCACGTTTAGTGGCCACTAACAATCCAAAGAGAATTCCGGAGATAAACCCTCAAGTTAGACGTCGTTTCGAAGTGTCAGGGCCAAAACTGAATTCAGGCGACTGCTCCCTCACCATCAATGATGCTCAAGCAGCTGACCAGGCAACTTACCACTTCCGAATGGAGAAAGGCCACAAACGCTGCAGTTACTCTGCAGCAAAAGAAAGATTATCTGTCATCGTGACAGGTAAGTACCTCAGACAGGTAGAATGCCATAGACTCCACCCTCCAAACCAGCCATTTCGTCCTGGGTAACAATTGTTGCCAATCTCCAGGTGAGGGCTAGAGATCACAATTACAACTGCTCTTCAGGTAGCAGAGATCAGTTCCTCTGGAGAAAACAGTGGACTCTGTCATTATACCCTGCTGAGGTCACCACAGCAAATTGACACTGTTTGCCCAAAGCCAGAGCACTCCCCCAGAGCCTCTTTCTAGATCTCGTTGTATTTATTTCCACAACGGGCCTTATTCCTAGTTCTTAATAAAACAGGAGTGTAGGCTTAACTGGGGAGGCCCGGAAGAGCCTGAACCATTTGTCGTTTCAAAGACATCCCCTAATAGAGCATGTTGAAGGATCCATTATTCTTCTTGGGGGATGGGGTAGAAGAAATTGTGGTTCCAGTTTGTCTGACAAAGGTTGGAAGGGAATACGGGGCTTGGTGGGCTAAACATATACTCTCCTATCTTACCAGAGAGAAAACTGGACATAACTATTTTTGAACCGCTAAGAGCAGGACAAAGAGAAAGCATCTTTTGCAAAACCCAAAGATGTTCTTCCTTGGAGGTTCCCGAAATTACCTGGGAACATGCTTCTCAGATATCACCCTTGGAGACCTCCCCGACTGTGAACCACAACAGTGTGGAGGAGCGCATGGATTTCATACCCACGGCTGCAGACCGTCTGCAAAATGTCACCTGTAAAATCACCTACGGAGAAGGGTCCAGCCGTCGGAGCGTCGAGAAGACGGTCACACTCAACATACACTGTAAGCAGCTCCTCAGATCCTAACCCCCCCACACACACTTTGGGGTGCTCATTTTTACCATAGCTGAACTGAAAATCTGGTTCTGTTGGAGTTGGGTAGAGTTTTGTGGGGGTGGGCTGCTCCAGCAAATTCTAGCTCCATAGTTTCTACAACGCTACTTCCCAAACTTTTGATAACTGAAGCAAGACGGAGCTCTTCCACTGGGCTTTTGGTTGAGAGACAGTGGGCGTCCCTCCCTTCTTCCTGACCCCCCCACCCACCAGTGGCCTGGTACACATTTGACATTGGGGCACCACCGCTATACTCTGATACGACTGACACCTGAACAGGCTATTTTACATGGTAGTTGTGATTTTTATGATCTGCGATTTTATGTGATTTTGTGTTGTTTTAATTTGTTTAAATCTGATGTAAACCACCCACCTTGAGCCCGCTCGTGGAAAGGGAGGTATATAAATCAAATAAATAAATATATATTTTTTTAATTCTCCAGATTAACTGGGGGGCACACTCTGGTATTATTACTCCCCAAAGGAGTGGACTGTGTAAGCCGCAGACAAGCAGGCATTTGGCTGTGGTTAAGTTACAGCTTTCTGGAAATGCCTGAGATCACATTAGAGACCACCGGTCCTGACACCTCGACATCCTGTGTGCTGACCGGCTTGTGGCCCTCCAGGGTCTCAAGCAGAGAAAGGCCAGTCCCGGCACCTGTCTGCTGCCCTAGATCCTTGAAGTGGAGGTGGCAGGGACTGAGCCGTGGCCTGAATGCTCTGCAACTGAGCCACAGCCCCTCCCGTAAGAGACGGAAGAAAGGCGGGGAGGGACATGCAAGGAAAATGGTTGGCTGAGGGAACTGGACAGACAGATCAAGTTTGTTGTGTTTGACAGGCATGGGGATTTCCTGGGATATCAGATTCTCTCCTGCCCTGTGCTGCAGCCTAACCAGAGGGATCCATTACCAACCCCACCATCCCTAGGTTTAGAGATGCCACCCTCCAGGTGGGACCTGGGGGATCCCCCGGAATCATACCTCATCTCCAGCCTACAGAGATCAGTTTCCCTGGAGAAACTGGATGCTTTGGAGGGTGAACGCTATGGCACTGTACCCCACTGAGGTCCCTGTCCTCCCCAGGCTCCATCCCCAAACCTCCGGGAGTTTCTTAACCTGGATCTGGCAACCCTAGTCCCCCATCCCCTGCCAGAGGCTGGGGGAGACCTGCCAACCATACCTCCATCCCTCAGCCTCCTGGAACATCCCAGCAGAGAGTTAGCAAACCCTGTTGCCAACTCTGTTTCTCTTTGTGTTACAGATCCCCCCAGGGTATTGCCGTTCAGTGGGTACCTTCAAATTCCTCGAGGAGGTAAGTTTTCTGTGCATTAAAGTAGACACACAATGAGACAATTACACTCAATATAGCTCCTTCACCCACAACCCCATAAGACAAATTGCATTCAATGTTTTGGGGGTTTTAAAACTTTACTATTCCATGGGTGAAAGGTTGTTTCTGGAAAGATGGTTAAGGTCTGGACTGTTATGTTTGGATATAAGACTTGCATTCAGTTCCTACCTCTGTGTCCTTGGGCAAGTCATTCTCTCACAGCTTCTGCCGCTGACCTGTAAAATGGGCATAAGAGCAACCAATTTCATACTGTGGGCCTCTGAAACGCTAGATCCTCCGCTTTCTTTGGAACGTCCCACCTTTCTATTGCAGCCAAGTTGGATCTTCTCATGTTTTTGTTACAGGGGGTGGTTTGCATGCCTGCTGTTTTCTTCTTTGAGGGAGAAATTGCAGAGGTGGGGTACAAAGTCTGAGAACAACCATAGTCATTCCTTATCCTTTTGCAGATGTGCAGAACTTCCCAGATGTCTCAGACAGCCAGATTGTTACATGGACAGATGATTCTCTCCTGGTACGTTGTGAGGCAGATGCCAACCCCCCCAGCAATCAGACCTGGGTGAGGATACCTAGCCACTCAAGTCGGCTGCACATCTCAAATAATGAACTGAAGATTTCAAGACTGAGGTTGGAAGACACAGGCAAATATGAGTGCCAGGCCAGGAACCAAGAAGGTACCTCTCGGGCATCCTTCTACCTTCACGTACAAGGTGAGACAATATTGGGCTTCACTAAGATGGCTTTAGTTAGGATTTGTCAGGCTGTTCAGTACAATCCTGAAGCACTCTTGAACTTCACATGGCAAAGGGGGAATATTGATAAACACGGTCTGTTGCAGCCAGAATGAAACAACAACCGTAAATGACCCCAAAGTATCAACAAGCAACTTATAAATGCAATGAATATTGTCTGTTTGAAGTGCATACAAGATACAGTTTCAATAAGTCATAAAGAGAATTCTTTTTTTTTAATGCAACGAGTATGATTGTGTCTGTTTTCAGCCACAGCAACCTGTGTTTAAAAAATAAAAATTTAAATACCAACTCTGAACAATAACACAGATGCAGGTTTTAAAACAAATTTCACACTTTGCACACTTACCTCCAAGTGCAGATCACAAAACCTTCCTAAAGCAAATATCACAGGAGTATCTGTCTGGAATCAAAATACACCTTTTCGGCTTATTGTGCTCTTAATTAAAGGAGCCACATTACTTATTCACAGCTGTTAAGCAAACATTGATTTAAAGGAACAGAATACACAAAAAGTATTTATACAAAGCCTGTGAGGTCCATTGACTGATTCAAGCCTCTTGGATATAAAGGGTCCAATTTATGTATCCAGTACATTTTGCGCTGAAGTAAGCAATGTTGAAGGTCGATTCTCTCCCTTTTTCTTTGTTGGGCAGCTTCTAGAACAGTATACCTAAAGTTGTCATACCTATGATTGGCTTGTCTAAAATGTTGGATCAGAGGAATTTCCAAATTCTGGTATTGGAGTCTTGATTTATGCTCTGCAATTCTTGCTCTCACTGCCCTAGATGTAGAACCCACATAAACTTTTTCATATTCACAAATTAGGAAATATATTACATTTTTTTGGTGCACAGCTACCAAATTTTTGTCAATTTCACTTTGTAGTTTACCAATATAAGTTCATCTGTTTCCCACACATGTTTGCAGCTATTGCAATGATGGCACTTGTAGTGTCCTTTAATATCTAGAGACTAATGTTCCCTCTAAGCTGTGGAGTCTTGTGAGCAAAAATTCGACTCTGTGAGCTACTGGCATTAAGGTGGCGAGCGAGCAATTTGGCTACTGCATCAATGAGTTTCCTCTGGAGCCCTCCTTCCTGAGCTAAGACAAAAATGTGTGAGCCGGAGGCTAAAAAATGGTGAGCTAGCTCACACTAACTCAGCTTAGAGGGAACACTTCTAGAGACTAGAATATTGTCTTCTCTTCCATCCAAATTAGTATGTATTAATTCAAAGACCTTCTAAAGCCTATACTTGGTCTATCTATACTATGTCTCTTAATATATGCCAATGTTTGAGGACGATATTCTTAATCTGCATTGCTAAAGGGATATAGTCCAATGCCCAAAAAATTTCCTCTAAGAAAAGAATCCTAGAGAAAGCCTCATACGAAGGTAAATGACTGGCAATGGAGGGGGGGGGGATTCAATACCTAGAGAACTGGCAAGACAGCAGTGAGCAGGGGCAGACGGGGAAGTGGAAATGCCCCTGGAGGAAGCCAAGACAAGGAGTCCCTGCAGATGCTACCAGCCAGGGCTACAGCACCAAGAAGGGTTGCCAAACTTGAGGTGGAGCCTGGAGATCTCCCAGAATCACAACCGATTTCCAGTTCATACCTGAATGTTATGACGCTCCAGGAATGTCGCATTTCTATGCTCAAAAACACACAGAAATGAGTGAATCCCTTGAACATCATGATGTCACTTCTGGGTACAAACCAGATGGGACGGCATGATGAGCGACATCACTCTGCGGCCACCCAAGTCTCTCACTGGTTGCCAGTGCTAAGCTGGCAACCCTACTACCAAGTGGCCCCTGGGGTACCAGCTGGCAGAATGCCTGGAGCTTGACTCTTTGAAGGACATCTCCTTCCATAAGTCCTTTTGCACCAGCTACAATAATCAGGCAGCCATGTGTTGGCTATACCACCATTCTGGGTGGCCTGTCTGGCCTCAACCACAGCTCAGACCTTCTCCATCTTGGCTCCAGCTCTGCGGAATGGGCCTCCTGAAGGCATGAGGGGGCCCCCTCCTTGGAGGTCTTCAGGAGGCACTGGAAGGTCTGCCTGCCTGCTCGCCAGAGCTTTTGAGGGAGTTTGAATTGCCAGGTGTCTTCTAAAGGGGGAGGATGGAAGAGTTCGGGGGGGTTGTTATTTTATTTTTGGTTAATAAACTGAAAGTGTTTTTAAAAACTATAGTTAGCTGCCTTGAACTACAAGGAAAGGCGGGATATGAATGTTTCAATAACTAATTAAATAAAATATGTGTGCTCCTCATCACCAGTGGCCCTCAAGAGAAGTAACCCTGGTCTGCCAGAAATATTCCCTCTAAGTTAAATGGCCGGTCTGCTCCAGAAGTTAGTGAAATTCACCCCCATCTCACTCAGAGTTCCATTATTTCTGGTGGATCTTTATCTCTCTGCCCCATCTGTGTCTCTTCCCTTTTTTCCTCTTGCACCTAAGGTTGCCAGCACAGGCTGGGAAATTCCTGGAGATTTGGGGGTGGAGAACAGGGGAGGACAGGGTTTTGAGAGAGGATGGACCTTAGGTAGATATGGGGTTAGCAACACCCAGATGGTGGCTGGAGATCTCCTGGATTACAACTGATCAACAGGAGACAGTTATCAATTCGCCTGGAAAAATGGCCGATTTGGAAAGTGGACTCTATGGCATTATATCCAATTGAAGTCCCTTCACAAACACAGCCCTCCTCAGGGTCCACCCTCAAAATATCCAGGTATTTCCCAACCTGGAGCTGGCAACCCTAGCTGGCTATAAATCCACAGAGCCCATCCTCCAAAGCAGATTCGTTTCCCAGGGGAATGAATCTCTGTAGCCTGGAGATCAGTTCTAATTCTGGGACATCTCCTGGTCCCACTTGAAGGCTGGTAACCCACTTGAACCACTTCTTCTCTTCCTCTCAGCCATCTAATCTTGGCCTCTTTTGTCTTCTTCTCCTAGATTTTGATGACTACGCTCCAATGGCAGGGCCATAAAGCCAGGAAAAGGCCCACTATGTCAACAGTGAAACCATTGTCATTTTCCGGAACATCCAAGGATACCTGAGACTGCCTTTCCACGCACTGCATCTTCTGTGCTAAGGGTTAAAGGGCTGAGGGCCCTCTATTCTTGTGCTACCCCAGTCTCACACTTTGATTATTGACTTGATTCTTCCCACCCAACTCTCCCGTACCCTATTCTGTTTCTTTACTGCCAAATCCGTACCTTTTCCGAAACCGGCCTTAACTGTCTATTGTAGATCGTAAGACTTCAGGGGAGGGACTGCATCATTTCCAGGGTCACCACATACTGTAGTGGTTCAGTAACTCCCAATGGCAGAGACATTTGTAGGACTCACAGAAAAGTCCCACTGTAGACTTGGTGATTCCCATGTCCTTCAGCCACAGGTTGGTTCTGCAGTGCTACCTTTCAGGCTCACGGATGAAAACAAAACACCACATTGAAATGACGCTCTCCCATTCTTGCTTAAACCTCACCAGCTTGTGTTGACCTCCAAAGCCATGAGATCCTGAAGCGTTCCTGTGAAATCACCATAAAGCAGGCCTAAGCTGAGCCTATCACAAGAACAGCGTGATGGATGGGACTATTTTGTCCATTCAAGCAAAGGCAAGAAGATGCTGCTTCTCCCTTCATTAGACTATTTTGTTCTAGCTCTCTTATCTTCCCCTCTCTCCAGTTGTCCTGATGGGCTTCCGTGACTCCTCTCTCTGCATAGGGAGGAGTCCAGGCCCTTGAGCAATTGGGCTACAGAGCCCACTGTACCTATGAATTAAATGGAACTTTAAGAAATATAGGAAAACTTACTTTAATGCATCCTGTGCTAGGTGTAACAGCAGGAGGAGATGTGGGCAAACCATTTGCCATTCAGATATAGCCCTTTGCATTTGTCCTGCAAATCTTGTGCTTTTGATGGCTTTGTCTAAAGAGGCACTTATTCCAAGTTTTTCTCTTAATGTTATCATGTTCTTCATTTTGCCATAGCTTTTTGTAATCAATAGCGTTGGGATTGTCCTTGGCTGTATCATTAATCAGTACACTGCTTCAATAAACTGCTGACATTTTGTTCTGGTTAAAATACTGAGTCAGTGTTCTCTTACTGCTGAAGCATTCCGTATTGGGCGAGAGAAGGGACTTGGGTTTACTAAGGGTGGACACAAAGTGGCTCACGAACCAAAGTTCATCACAAATTTTGGCCAGTTTGTGGTTCACGAAGCAAAGTTTGTGGCAGGACGACCAGCACGAATATTCCATGAATTATTAAGGTGTTCATTGTGGTTCACGAATGGATACATTCCCAGACAGTTTCCAGTCAATTCAAATATTTACAAAACTTCAAAGCAATGGGGGTTTTGGAATTCTCCATCCTTAAAAACAATAGGGGCCCTTCTAAGCTTAACAGGCACCACTGGTTGCCAATAACAGAGTTCTTATTCTGCTCTGTGGGATCCGGATGCTATATATACCCTCAGCTCAGCTCTGTTGGCTGCTGGCAGTTTGATAGAGAGCCAGGGAGCTTGTTAAAAGCAGAGCACATTCACTTATTCCTGATTGTGAATGTGAACACTTCTCCCCTGATGGGGTTTGGGCTTCAGCGAGTAGATAAATTGGGGACCACCCGTAAGGGGGTGGGCACACCCCTCCCTTTGGGAAGGTGTTAGCTGCCGAGGCAACTTCTGAGGCGCGGCGACCGGAAAGACGAAATAACTGTGTCGGCTTCCCTGCAGTGAAGCGAGTCGGCCAGGCGGTGGCAGTGTGTGGCTGCACAACATCAAGAAGCCAGACATCATCAGCCAGCCGACAAGATGCCGTAGGAACACGACTGACCCAGCCCGCAGATGAAGCTCGGCTAGCTGCAATGTGTGTGTGTAATTAATGCTGTATGTTTGTCTTTCCTATCCCCACAAATATTGTTAGTCCAACTGTCTCAAGAGTAACTGTAAATCACTCTGAGCCCGCAGGTATGTGGGAAAGAGCAAACAATAAATCGAAAGCATTATTTTTTTTTATTATTATTATTATTAAGGTGGACTCAGGCCACTAAGCCATCCCATCTCTCTGCTCATGTCGAGAGGGGCTTAGCTACTGGGAGCCTCAGCCGAGGACCCACATTTATACCCTCCTGATCGCAAACTCCTCTCCCTGTTGGGGTTTGGGTGTTAGGTGGACTCAAGGCTTTGAGCCACCCTGTCTCTCTGCTCACACTGAGCCGTGTCGCTTAGCCGCTGAGTGCCTTGGCTGAGGACCCGCATTTTATACCCTCCTGATTGTGAACTTTCCTCCCTCACCATCACCTCTCCCAGATCCTCTGCCATTGCATGCCTGGCATCCCCAAGGCTGCTGACCTCCCAGTTCACCACTGACAACCAGTAGTGGGGTTTCTCCCTGTTTGGACTCTTTGAAGCAGAGGTGCTGAGCTGCGTCTCCTCCTCCCCCTCCCCAGTCTCTTTCACCCACTATTCCATCTGGCATGCTGTTTGGCCTGTGGCCTCCCTCCACACTTTTTTGCTCAGCTTGTCACATTTCCATTGCATGAGCTCTGCATTCTGGAGAGCAGGGGTCGTTTCGTAGAAAAAGAGCTAGGGGAACTCATTATCATAACTCATTAGCATATGCCACACCCCTGCCATCACCGGAAGTGAGCCGTAAGACCACACCCACCACTCAGTTAGTCTTAGTCTTAAAGGTTAGTCTTAAAGGTGCTATTTGTTAGTCTTAAAGGTGCTATTTGAACTCTTGGACTATTTTGCAGACTAACACAGCTACCTCGGGGAAGCTCCTAGATGGGGCTGGGAGTCCTTGCAGAGGCCATGTGGAGTGGCCTTGGCCAGGCAGAGGGGGAGGACGCCAACTTACCCTCCTGCTTCTTCCGCCTTCTGCAACAGAATGAGGCTGGAAGCAGGGGGCTGCCGGAAGAAGGGTGCGGGGCTTCGTTGTGTGCCCCGCCCCCTGCACCTCACCCGGGGGGAACTGCGATCCCCCCCGAAATGACCTCTGCTGGAGAGCAATGCTGCCTTTTATTCAGGGGTCACAGAAACAGGCCAGCTTGTGCTCTCGTCTCTTGAAGAGAGGATGCCACCTGGTGGTGATGCCCACCTGCAACCTCTCTGCCAAGGCCATGACCCATGGGAGCACACCGGTCCCCTCAAGGCCCGGCTCCAGTGCAGGGGTGAACGCCCGGTCCAGCTCTCAAATCAGGGGGTGACCTGCATCAGGCTGGCTGTGTGGGCACAGAGCATGTCGGTACTGTCTTGGAAGGGCTTAAGGACACACACCAGCCAGTCACTGGAGCTCATGAGGAGCTCCTCTTCCCTGTGCAGGATGGTCAAGGAAGAGATGACATCCTGTGCTGCACTCTTCTGTTCCACCAAACGCACAATCATGGTGTAGGTGGAGTTCTTCATCCCCCTCCCCCTACCTCTCGTGCAGCTGTTCCTGTTGGCAGCAGAGGAGAGGACTCGCAATAATGGGTTTAAATTAAGGGTGAGATGGTACCGGCTGAATATTAGGAAAAACTGTTTTACAGTAAGAGCTGTGCAACAGTTGAATCAGCTGCCTGGGGAGGTGGTGAGCTCCCCCTCACTGGCAATCTTCAAGCAGCGGCTGGACAAACACTTGTCAGGGATGCTCTAGGCTGATCCTGCACTGAGCGGGAGGTTGGAATAGATGGCCTGTATGGCCCCTTCCCACTCTGTGATTCTATGATTCCATGTCATGGTAAGACATCTGTGAATGGCTCCCCAGCTATTTATAAATCTTATACTGCAGCTGTGTAGGGACCCGAATCAGACTGGGAAGGGGCATGGCAAAAAGTTTATTTTCCCCCGATGCGCTTTTCATCGTTGAAATTGCCTTTCTGGGGGCAATTATTCCCCCCCGCTCCCGGTTGGACAACATATGGGCACTGTACAGGAAAGAACTGACCTCCTCTTCTCCACCCCACAGCTCAGTCTGAAGTATGACCTTGCATGGCCGAGGGCAGTATTATTGGTAAAGGTTGCCAACTCTAAGCAGAGAAATTCCTGGAGGTTTGGGGATGGAGCCTGTGGAGGGTACAGTTTGGACAGCCAAAAGACCTCAGTAGAATATAATGCCATAGAGGCTACCCTCCAAAAGAGCTGTTCTCTCTAGGGGAACTGATCTCTGTAGTCTGGACAGCCCTTGTAATTCTGGGAGATTCAAGTCAAGTCAGCCTTTATTGGCATAGAACAAAGTATACAAGTAGGACACTGTATTACAAATACATTGAATAAAATAATAGGTTACACCAATGTTCCCTCTAAGCCTTTCAGTGAACTCCACAGACTGTGCGGCATAGCTCTCACAATACCTCCATCAAGTGCCGAATGTGAAAGGACATTTTTATGTCTGTGGCAAATTAAGACCTATTTAAGGAACAGTATGGGTCATGGATGGCTAAGTAGTTAAGTCAAGTCAGCCTTTATTGGCATATATCAGTAGAACAAAGTATACAAGTAGGACACTGTATTACAAATACATTGAATAAAATAATAGGTTACACCAATGTTCCCTCTAAGCCATGGAGTCTCATGAGCAAAAATTCTACTTTGTGAGCTACTGGCATTAAAGTTGTGAGCGAGCGATTTGGCTACTGCATAAACTAGTTTGCTCTGGAGCCCTCCTTCCTGAGCTAAGACAAAAATGTCTGAGCCATAGGTTAAAAACCTGTGAGTTAGCTCACACTCACTCAGCTTAGAGGGAACACTGGTTACAACTGTACTTTTCCTCAGCGTAGCAGCATGGTGGACTGAAGGAACTTAGCCACTTTCTCAGTTACTTCAACAGAGGAATCATTCAAAAGTTTGTAAACTTTATGGGAATCTGAAAAACCCAACATGTTGGCCAATATAGAGTTTAGATATTTAGAGCGTATATTTACATAAAAGCGACATCACAACAAAACATGTAAGACAGTCTCAACACATCCAGATACACAAGGGCAATGTGTAGCCGCATATGCTGTCTTATTGAATCTGCCATATAGAATGGCAGATGGCATGGCATTGCATCTGGCTAAAGAGAAAGCTCTGCGTAGTTGTGGCGTAGGGAGGATAAATATGAAGCCATCCTACCCACAGAAGCCAAATATGTAGGGAGGATAAATATGAAGCCCAGGGGTCACTTCGTAGAAAAAGAGCTAGGGGAACTCATTAGCATAACTCATTAGCATATGTCACGCCCCCTGTCATCATAAGGCCCGGCGGTGGACCTGCAAGGCCGGTGGGAGTGCGAGGAAGCCCTGCCAAGGCCCTCCCTGGCCCCAGGCAGGCAGGGGTGGGGAGATTTGGTATATGAGGCTCCCTGGGTCAGAATTATAATGTAGACGTAGCCAATATTTAAACGTCATAAGCCATGCTCTGGTTTCAACTAGATTCAGACCTGTTTCTAAGCAAAGAACTGCATATGGGACACACTTTGGCAAGCCCAAAACTTTACGTAAGAATTTGGACTGGACACAATCAGTGGCACTGTCAAGAGCTCTGATCCATATCGGGATGCCATAGAATAGTTGTGAGATCACTTTAGCATTAAAGATTTTTAAAGCAGTTGGTACAAATTGGTTACCTCTACTGTAGAAAAATCGCATTATAGCTGAAGCTATATATTATTATTAAAATCGCATTATAGCTGAAGCATTATAGCTGAAGCTATATTAGCAGTATTTATTGCATGTTTGCATATGAGGCTCCCTGGGTCAGAATTATAATGTAGACGTAGCCAATATTTAAACGTCATAAGCCATGCTCTGGTTTCGACTAGATTCAGACCTGTTTCTAAGCAAAGAACTGCATATGGGACACACTTTGGCAAGCCCAAAACTTTACGTAGGAATTTGGACCGGACAAAATCGGTGGCACTGTCAAGAGCTCTGATCCATATTGGGATGCCGTACAATAGTTGTGAGATCACTTTAGCATTAACGATTTTTAAAACAGCTGGTACAAATTGGTTACCTCTACTGTAGAAAAACCATGTTATAGCTGAAGCACTGATATTAGCAGTATTTATTGCATGTTTGCATTGGATAAACCAAGACACATTGTATTGAAAACAGAGGCCAAGGTATCTGAAGTGCTTAACTTGTTCTATTTCTTTTCCGCCAATTATCCATTTAAATGGTTTCCAAGTTTCAGAGAAGTCTGGGATTTTTGATTTCCCATGATTCAGCTTTAACTTGTTAGTTGTAAAGAACTCGAGGCAACGGGTCAGTAAGTGTTTTAAGCCAACTCTGGAATGGGAGAATAATACTGTATCGTCAGCATACAGAAGTAGGGGTACGTGTAAAGAGCCAAGTTTGGGGCTATGATAATCAACTCCTGACAACTGAGGGGCACTGAGAAAAAGACTGAATAAAAAAGGGAGCTAGAATGCAACCCTGTTTGACTCCCATGTTAGTAGGGAAATTCTGGGAGATGTCCCGGTCCCACCTGGAGGTCGACAACCCTACGTTTTAAGCTTCTCAGTATTGATTTTATCCTGTCACAGCCCTGGGGGAGAAGGGGTGGAACAGGGCCACCTCCCTAAGGAAGGCAACAAACCAGTTGTCTCCAAAAGCAAGGGAGGAGCAGAGGGAAGCAAGGCCAACCAGCACCAGCTCCTTATGGAGCAAAGGCCTCCTCAAGAGAAAGGGCCTGCTCAGGAGTAAGAGCAAGGAAGCAGGAACCAAGAGTGGCCAGCCAAGGAAAGAAGGATAAAAGTCCCCAGCTGAAGGAGGTAAGTGGGGAGTGTCGCTGGAAGCTGGGAAGTAGAGGGTGGCTGGGTCTGCAGGATGGTGAGAAGGTGACATTCCTGGCCCAAGGGGAAGCCAGAATAACTTTTTCTACCTGGCCAAGGCAGATGGACTCCCCTCCCCAAGGCTTAACCCTGCAGAAAGGCTGCAACAGCCAGGACCGGGGCTTAAGGGACTGGCATTGTAAAGGAGCAATGTGATCCAAGTGTCTCAGTTACATTTCTGATGTGTTTGCTTGTCTTTGGCACCACAGGAGGAACATGACATTTCCACAGGGAGATGTGGCCTCTGCGGGCATCACGTGAGCTTTTTACAAAATGCTAGCTTTGTGCCGTTAAGTGCCGTCAAGTCGCTTTCAACTTATGGTGACCCTATGAATTAATAACCTCCAAAATGTCCTATCGTTAACAGCCATTCTCAGGTCTCGCCAACTGAGGGCCGTGGCTTCCTTTATACAGAGGAGGGGAAATGACAAAATGTTGTGAAATCACAAGCCAAGGGTCCTCCTACAATGGACACACGATTTCCAAATGGAAGTGCCCTGAAAACTCAAACATGATTAGGACTGCCACTTCCTTGGTAGTGGTGGGGTATTCACCACTGCTCAGGTGGCCAGCAAAGGACAAAATAGAGAGAAACTGGGGAAGTTGTCAGCAGGGCTCTTTTTGTAGAAAAAGCCCAGCAGGAACTCATTAGCATATTAGGCCACACCCTTGACAGCACAGCTCATTAGCATATTAGGCCACACCCCCATGTTACCAGAAGTGTGGTCATCCAGCCACACCCACCTTTTGCTTCTTATTCTGTTTACCTTGTTTGTTGTCAAAACCCAGGGCTTTTTTTGTAGCAGGAACTCCTTTGCATGTTAGGCCACACACACCTAATGTAGCCAATCCAAATGAGTTTCTGCTCTTGGGTGTGGCCTATTATGCTAATGAGTTCCTGCTGGGTGTGGCTTATTATGCTAATGAGTTCCTGATGGGCGTGGCCAACTCTGGAGCCAGCCGGAACTCCGTTCCTGCGCGTTCTTGCCCAAAAATAGCCCTGCTTCTAGGAATCAAAAAATCTTGCCAGTAGAAAACTACGATAGTAGAGAGGGCAGGGTATGAACCTTCTCCCCTGACATCTGGTTTTCTATTTCCAGGGCTGCTTTTAAAAACGAGCGATAGGGAGCACAGACTTTTACCCAAATGCCTGAGAGTCCCCAGCATCCCCCGGTTACGTTGTGGTGCCACTTCTGAGTGCGTAGCAAATGAAACAACCTAGAGAACTATAGACCCATTCGTCTCTTGTCTATTCTAGGGGGAAATTTATGCTAAACATGTTCTTAAGAAATTATCTGAGTGGATGACGTCTGGTAATTTACCGTAATTTTGCTAGTGGACAAAACCCCCGAAGTTACTGAGCAGGTGGCAGAGTTCCTGGCAAATGTACTTAAGAGGCCAAGAAAAAGAGGAAAGAAAAGAGGGAAGAGGAAGAGGGAAGGAGGTGGAGAGTGAGTGAGAGAGATAATGTGTATCTATGATTCCTCTTCGGATAGCTAAGCTTCTTACTGCAACTGTTTTAATTACTATGATACTCGAGATTACTGTTCCGAACTTTTATCACTTTGCCCTATTATTATCCAGGGCTATTTTTGGGCAGGAACGCACAGGGACGGAGTTCCGGCTGGCTTCAGAATTGGCCACACCCACTACAGCCAAAACCTCTGCATGCATGGCTACAGAGGGAAAGCCTGGAGAGTGACCCCCCCCCCCGCCGACTCTGAGGCGGGCAGGCCAGGGGGGGCCTGGAAGGATCAGGGAGGCATTTAAATGCCTCCCCGTGCTTTCCCCGGCCTGTCCAACGGGTAGGCCAGGGGGGGCCTGGAAGGATCAGGGAGGCATTTAAATGCTTCCCTGTGCCTTCCCCGGCCTGTCCAAGGGATGGCATGCCCGGGCACCCCGCAGCTGTGGGGCACCCGAGCAAGCCAAGGGAAGGCATGGGGTGTGACCTAATATGCTAATGAGCTGTGCTGTCAGGGGTGTGGCCTAATAGGCTAATGAGTTTTTGGTGTTGGGTGTGGCCTGTTATGCTAAAGAGTTCCTGCTGGGCTTTTTCTACAAAAAAAGCCCTGCTGTGTACAATGTTACAAATCGCTGTACTCTGATTGTTTCTCTTTGTTGGCATATGGGCTGATGTGTACTGTTACCTTTTCTTTTTAAAGTTATTGTTATGCCAATAAAGGTTATTGGAATTGGAAATTAGCATGTTGCCGGTGATGTCATTACATCATTTGTAAGGGCCACTGCCGTGAAAAGTCCCCCTCATAGGGATGCCCTGGTGATCCCCTGGAATTACAGGTCATTGCCAGACTCCACGGATCAGCCCCCTGGAGAAAACGGCTGCTTTGGAGGGTGGAGTCTATGGCATTGTACTGCACTGAGGTTCCTGTCCCCTCTAGGCTCCATCCCCAAATCTCCAGGAGTTCCCCGACCTCGATTTGACAACTCTTCCCCCCGCCCCTTCCCCCACTAGTGGCCAAAAGGAAACTGGCACCCCTATACCCCCATCAGTTCCCATGCCCTGCTCCAAGTGAGGTGAAAGAAAGCTGGGACTGGCTCGTTGTTTTGGGGGGAGAAGAAGGCAGCCAGAATCACGCCAGGCCTTTTTAGTGGCAGCCCCCTGCTCTTTGCATTTTGTCATTCCATCTGAAACGTCCTTGTTGGCTACCACCTAATAGAGAGCTAATCAAAGTTAAATCCATTCACAGAATGAGCAAAAAGACCCTATTGGCAGTATGGAGTATACGTGTTCCCAAAATATGTATAAAAAGTTTTATTCAAGGTATGAGCCTAAATACAACTTGGTTGGTCTTAAAGGTGCCACTGAATTCAAACTTTGTTCTGCTGCTTCAGACCAACATCGCAACCTACCCAGATCTATGTGAAAATGTGTTTGCCAAGGAGAGAGACCTGAAGGTGTTACCCAATCCTGAATGTCTCTTGCCCAGAGTCCCGCACCCCAAAATCCTTAACTTGTCAAAACAACCCTGCTGTTTCCCTTTTCACAGTTAAATCGATGTAGCAATTTTCTGATGACTGGTGGCTAAGCTGGTAATATGGCATACACTTCCTGTGGCAGTGAATTCCATGTGTTAATCACTCTTTGTCCTCACTATATGGTTGTTCTCTCTTTCTCCTCTCTTTAAGACTGGGATGGAGAATAGTGTTTACTGTTTTGGTGGTTGAGTTTCATTGTCTTCTCCTCACTGCAGGTGTCCAGTGCAGGACCAGGGAGTACAGCCTGGAAGTACCTTCTCAGGTGACTGTGCAAGACGGGCTCTGTGTGCACATCCCGTGCCAGTTCACTTATCCTGAATCACATAATGGCCAGCATGCTCCATTGTATGGGTATTGGTATGCAGAAGACAAGCCAAGTAGACAGCCATGTTTAGTGGCCACTAGCAATCCAGGGAGAATTCACGAGATAGACCCTCGGGTTAGGCGTCGTTTCGAAGTGTCAGGGCCAAAACTGAATTCAGGCGACTGCTCCCTCACCATCAATGAGGCTGAAGCAGCTGACCAGACGATTTACCACTTCCAAATGGAGAAAGGTCACAGACGCTGGAGTTACTCTGCAGCAAGGGAAAGATTATCTGTCATTGTGACAGGTGAGTGCCTGAAAGGAGGGTGCCGATCTCTCTTGCAAAGTCACCGTCTGATACAGTTTCTCCATCGTTTTGCAGCTGAGGCAGTTTTGCTTGCCAAGTCTCTTTGAAGGCGGGCCTTTGAGGCAGGAACGAGGGATACAATTCTTAGTAAAACAGGAGCATATGTTTAACTTGGGAGACCCAGAATAGCCAGAACCATTAGCAGTTTCAAAGGCAGCCCCTAACAGAGCATGTAGAACAGGGGTGTCAAACATGCGGCCCGGGGGCCAGATCAGGCCCCCGGAGGCTTCCATCAGGTCCGCAGTGGAACTGGCCATCTCCTGCTTCCAGTTCTGCTGCTGCTGCTGCTACATAATAGCTTGCTTTGCGAGGCTCTCTTAATCACTCAGCCATTTCATGTTTAAACCTAGGTCCTAGACTCAGAACTCTGAGCATGAGATTTCTGTGGTGAATGTCAATAAATCAAAAGTAGGTTTGCATCTTACAGAGCTAATGTTTTAAGCATGTTTTTATTTTAAGTAAAAAAAATCTTTGTGTTTGTGTCCTTTATAAAGCTTATATCTCTGCTATGACACACATGGTCCGGCCCAACAAGGTCTCATTTATGTCAGATCTGGCCTTCATAACAAATGAGTTCGACACCCCTGATGTAGAAGGATCCATTATTCTTCTTGGGGGATGGGGTAGAAGGAATTGTGGTTCCAGTTCGTCTGACGAAGGTGGGAAGGGAATACCAGGCTTGATGGGTTAAACATATACTCTCCTATCTTACTAGAGAGAAAACTAGGCATAACTATTGTGCAACCACTGAGAGCAGGACGAAGAGAAAGTATCTTTTGCAAATACAAAATATGTTCTTCTTCCGGGGTTCTCTCAATTTCCTGGACATATCCTGCTCATATCTCAGTCCTGAAGAACTTCCAGACTGAGAGCCACAACAGTGTGGAAGGTTGCATGTATTTCATACCTACGGTGGAAGACCATCGGAAAAATGTCACCTGTGGTATCACCTATGGAGAAGGGTCCAACCATCGGAGTGTCGAGAAGACTGTCATGCTCAACATACACCGTAAGCAGCTCCTCGGATTCTAACCCCCACACTTTGGAGTGCTCATTTTTACCATCACTGAACTGAAAATCTGGTTCAGCTGGAGCTGGGTAGAGTTTTGTGAGGGTGTGCTGCTCCCACTAATTCTAGATCCATAGTTTTTAGGACGCAACTTCCCAAACGTTTGATAACTGAAGCACATCTTTTTTTTCTCCCAATTAAGTGGGAGGCACACTTTGGTCTTATTACTCCCCAAAGGAGTGTAAGCCACAGACAAGCAGGTATTTGGCTGTGGCTAAGTTGCATCTTTCTGGAAATGCCTGAGATTAAAAGACCACTGGTCCTGCCAGCTCGACATCCTGTGTGCTGATTGGCTGTGGCCCTCCAAGGTCTCAGGCAGAGAAAGGCCAGTCCCGGCACCTGTCTGCTGCCCCAGAGCCAGTTTGGTGTAGTGGTTAAGTGCGCGGACTCTAATCTGGGAGAATCGGGTTTGAGTCCCCACTCCTCCACTTGCACCTGCTGATATGGCCTTGGGTCAGTCACAAGCTCTGGCACAGCCGTCCTTGGAAAAGAGCAGTTTGTGTCAGAGTTCTCTCAGCCCCACCCACCTCACAGGGTGTCTGTTGTGGGGAGGGGAAGGGAAAGGAGTTTGTAAGCCACTCTGAGACTCCAAGTGAAGGGCGGGGTATAAATCCAATCTCTTCTTAAGTGGAGGTGGCAGGGACTGAACCATGGCCCTGGATGCTCTGCCACTGAGCCACAGCCCCTTCCATGAGAGAGAGAAGAGAGGCGGGGGAGGGATGTGCCAGGAAAACTGTGAAGCAAAAGCTTGGCTGGGGAAACTGGACAGACAGATCAAGTCTGTTGTGCTTGCGGGCATGAGGATATCCTGGGATATTAGATTCTCTTCTGTACTGGAGCCACACTAGAGGGGCCCATTACCAACCCCACCCTCCCTTGTCTTAGGGATACCAATCTCCAGGTTGGACCTGGGGATCCCCCAGAATTACAACTTATTTCCAGACTACAGAGATCAGTTCCCTTGGAGAAAATGGATGCTTTAGAGGGTGGACTCTATGGCATTGTACTCCACTGAGGTCCCTGTCTTTCCCAGGCTGAATCCCCAGTCCTCAAGGAGTTTCCCAGCCTGGATCTGGCAACCCAACCCCCTCATCCCCTGCTGAAGGCCGGGGGAGACCTGGCAACCCTACCTCCACCCCTGAACCTCCAGGAACATCCCGGTACAGAGTTGGCAACCTTATTACCAACTCTGCTTCTCTTTGTGTTACAGATCCCCCCAGGATACTGCCGTTCAGTGGGCACATTCAAGATCGCAGAGGAGGTAGGTTTTCTGTGCATTTAAGTGGACACACAATGAGACAAACTGCATTCAATGTTTTGGGAGTTTTTTTTAACCTGACTTTTTGGGGAGTTTTTTTTAACCCTGAAGGGTTGTTTCTGGAAAGATGGTTAAGGACTAGACTTTTATATTTGGGGATAAGACCTGCATTCAGTTCCTGCCTCTGTGACTGACACTTTCTCTATCCTTGGGCAAGTCATTCTCTCACAGAATCTGCCGCCGACCTGTAAAATGGGCATAAAAAGGTAAAGGTAAAGGTTCCCTTGCTCAAAAGCCAGTCAAATCCTACTCTAGGGTTGCGGTGCTCATCTCCGTTTCCAAGCCGAAGAGCCAGCGCTGTCCGAAGACATTTCCGTGGTCATGTGGCCGGCATGACTAAACACCAAGGCGCACGGATCGCTGTTACCTTCTCACTGAAGTGGTACCTATTTATCTACTTGCAATTTCTTGCTTTCGAACGGCTAGGTTGGCAGGAGCTGGAACTAGAGACGGGAGCTCACTCCGTCATGCGGCACACTAGGGTCTCGAACTGCTGAACTGCCGACCTTCCACAGCCTGCAGTTCAGCGTCTTAACCACTTGAGCCACCGCAGCTCCAAAATGGGCATAACAACAACCAATTACATGCTGTGGGCCTCTAAAACAGTAGATCCTCTGCTTTATTTTGAAGTACCCGCCTTTCTACAAGAAATTGAATCTTCTTGTCTTTTTGTTACAGGGGAGCTTTGCATGCTTGTTATGTTCTTTTTCTTCTTTGAGGGAGAAATTGCAGGGGTAGGGTACCAAAGTCTGAGAACAACCATAGTCATTCCTTATCCCTTTGCAGCTGTACGGACTTTCTCAAATGTCTCAGATGGCCAGATTACGGCATGGGCACATGAGTCTCTCCTGGTACGTTGTGAGGCAGATGCCAACCCCCTCAGCAATCAGACCTGGGAGAGGACACCTAGCCACTCAATTCGGGTGCACATCTCAAATAATGAACTGAAGATTTCAGGACTGAGGTTGGAAGACCAGGGCAAGCACGAGTGCCTGGCCAGGAACCGAGAAGGTGGCATTCCAGCATCCTTCTACCTTCACGAACATGGTGAGACAATATTGGGCTTCACTCAGATGGCTTTAGTTAGGATTTGTCAGGCTGTTCAGGGTGATACTGAAGCACTCCTGAACTTCACATGGCAAAGGGGGAATACTGGCGTCCAATTCAGGGGAATTATGGGGCTATAGCGGGACAATGGAGTGTTGTTTAGCTTTGCAGCCAGAATGCCTGTTGGGTGTCAGACTCCCCACAGCATCAACGAAGTACACACTTGTAGAAAGTTTTTACTTTATTTGAAGCTATAGGTGCATAGACAGGATCACTGTTCGGAATGAGGGGGGAGCAAAGAGCATGGCATGTTATAGTACATTCAAACCACTGAGGCCCAATTGCGGGAGTTCCCACGCGCGCCATCGGGCCTGGGAGCAAACGCTTCTAGGCAGCACACGTTATCTCTTTCTCACGGTGTTTTGTGAGAGCCTCCAAGCAAGTAACAGCTAGATCCTCCGCTTTCTTTGGAACGTCCCACCTTTCTATTGCAGCCAAGTTGGATCTTCTCATGTTTTTGTTACAGGGGGTGGTTTGCATGCCTGCTGTTTTCTTCTTTGAGGGAGAAATTGCAGAGGTGGGGTACAAAGTCTGAGAACAACCATAGTCATTCCTTATCCTTTTGCAGATGTGCAGAACTTCCCAGACGTCTCAGACAGCCAGATTGTTACATGGACAGATGATTCTCTCCTGGTACGTTGTGAGGCAGATGCCAACCCCCCCAGCAATCAGACCTGGGTGAGGGCACCTAGCCACTCAAGTCGGCTGCACATCTCAAACAATGAACTGAAGATTTCAGGACTGAGGTTGGAAGACACAGGCAAATATGAGTGCCAGGCCAGGAACCAAGAAGGTACCTCTCGGGCATCCTTCTACCTTCACGTACAAGGTGAGACAATATTGGGCTTCACTAAGATGGCTTTAGTTAGGATTTGTCAGGCTGTTCAGTACAATCCTGAAGCACTCTTGAACTTCACATGGCAAAGGGGGAATAAAGGTAAAGGTAAAGGTTCCCTTGCTTGAAAGCCAGTCGAGTCCGACTCTAGGGTTGCGGTGCTCATCTCCGTTTCAAAGCCGAAGAGCCAGCGCTGTCCGAAGACGTTTCCGTGGTCATGTGGCCGGCATGACTAAACACCGAGGCGCACGGAACGCTGTTACCTTCCCACCGAAGTGGTACCTATTTATCTACTTGCAATTTCTTGCTTTCGAACTGCTAGGTTGGCAGGAGCTGGAACTAGAGACAGGAGCTCACCCTGTCTTGCGGCACCCGGGTCTTGAACTGCTGAACTACTGACCTTCCACAGCCTGCAGTTCAGCGTCTTAACCACTTGAGCCACCGCAGCTCCTTAAAGAGGGAATATTGGTGTCCAATTCAGGGGAATTATGGGGCTATAGCTGGACAATGGAGTGTTGTTTAGCTTTGCAGCCAGAATGCCTGTTGGGAGTTGCTGCACTACGGCCTGAAAAGAAGACTGGGTTTAACCATGTGGAACGCCTTGTGCCATGGAAACATAATGGGGGACGAGAGTCACACTGAGTATTTCCTCTACACAAAGAATCCTAGAGAAAGCCTCATACAAAGATAAATGGCTGGCAATTGAGGAGGGGGGGATTCAATACCTAGAGAACTGGCAAGACAGCAGTGAGCAGGGCCAGACGGGGAAGTGGAAATGCCCCTGGAGGAAGCCAAGACAAGGAGTCCCTGCAGATGCTACCAGCCAGGGCTACAGCACCAAGAAGGGTTGCCAACTCTGAGGTGGAGCCTGGAGATCTCCTGGAAATTACAACCGATTTCCAGAGCTCAGTTCCTCAGGATAAAATGGCAGATTCAGAGGGTGGACTCTATCTCATTATACCCTGCTGAGGTCCCCCCCAAAAAACCCCACCTTCTCCAGGCTCCATCCCCAGTTAACCAGGAAATTCCTAGTCTAGAGTTGGCCACTGCAGTGACAAGAAGGGGCTGGGGCAGGGAGCAGTGTCATGTGATAATTTGAGTGTTCATGACATCACTTGCAGTCCGTGACTGGATGTTATGACACTCTAGGAATCTCGCATCTCTAAGCTCTAAAAACCCACAGAGGTGAGTGTATTCATAGAGCATCATGATGTTACTTCTGGGTACAAACCAGATGGGACGGCATGATGGGCAACATCGCTCTGCAGCCACCGAAGTCTCCCACTGGTTGCCAGTGCTAAGCTGGCAACCCTAGAACCAAGTGGCCCCCTCAGGTACTGGCTGGTAGACTTCCTGGAGCTTGGCTCTTTGAAGGACAATCTCCTTCCATATGTCCCCTTGTGCCAACGACAGTCATCAGGCAGCCATGTGTTGGCTAGACCACCACTCAGGGTGGCCCGTCTGGCCTCAACCACACCCTGGGCCTTTTCCATCTTGGCTCCAGCTCTGTGGAATGGGCTCCCTGAAGAGGTGAGGGGGCCCCCTCCATGGAGATCTTCAGGTGGCGCTGGAAGGTCTGCCTGTTTCCCAGAGCTTTTGAGGGAGTTTGAATTGCCAGGTGTCTTTTAAGGGGGGAGGACGGGAGAGTTCGGGGCTTTTGTTATTTTATTTTTGGTTTTTAAGTACTATTTGAAGCTGCCTTGAACTACAAGGAAAGGTGGGATATGAACGTTTTATTAACTAACTAACTAAAGTATGTGTGCTCCTCATCACCAGTGGCCCTCAAGGGAAGTAACCCTGGTCTGCCAGAAATATTCCCTCTACATTAAGCGGCTGGTCTTCTCTAGAAGTTAGTGAAATTCACCCCCATCTCACTCAGGGTTTCATTCTTCCTGGTGGATCTTCATCTCTCAGTGCTATCTGTGCCTCTTCCCTTTTCTCCTCTTACACTTAAGGTTGCCAACCCAGTAGGGTTGCCAAGTCAATATTTCTTACCGGTGGGGGAGCCTCACTGGGCTTCGGGAGCTTTCCATCGACGTGCAACGTCGATCACATTGAAGGCGTGCGCCCCACGCGTCGAGAGTAATTCCCAACCTGGAGCTGGCAACTCTAGCTGGGTATAATGCCATAGAGCCCATCCTCCAAAGCAGATTCATTCTCTAGGGGAACAAATTTCTGTAGTCTGGGGATTGGTTGTAATCCCGGGACATCTCCAGGCCTCACCGGAAGGCTGGCAACCCACCTGTACCACTTCTTCTCTTCCTCTGAGCCATCTAATATTGGCCTCTTTTGTCTTCTTCTCCTAGATGTTCCTCACTTCATTGATAAGCCAAGGCCATAAAGCCAGGAAAAGGCCCACTCTGACAACAGTGCAACCACTGTCGCTTTTCTGGAATATCCAAGAATACCAGAGACTGCGTTTCCATGCACCGCATCTTCCGTGCTAAGGGTTCGAGGGCTGAGGCTCCTCCATTCAGGTGCTGCCCCAGCCACACAGTTTGGTTACTGCCTTGACTCCTCACACCCGACTCTCTCCACCCTATCCTGTTTCTTTACTGCCAAATCCGTACCTTTCCCTAACCCTGCCTTAACTGTCTACCGTAGAGAGTAAGACTTCTGGGGAGGGACTCCATCCTTTCCAGGGTCCCTGCATTCTGTGTGGGTTCAGAAACTCCCAATGGCAGAGACCAGTGTTCCCTCTAAGCTGAGTTAGTGTGAGCTAGCTCACAGTTTTTTAGCCTCCTGCTCACACATTTTTGTCTTAGCTCAGGAAAGAGGGCTCCAGAGAAAACCAACTTGTGCAGTAGCCAAATCACTCGCTCACAACTTTAATGCCAGTAGCTCACAAAGTAGAATTTGTGCTCACAAGACCCCACAGCTTAGGGAGAGCATTGGCAGAGACATCAGTAGGCCTCGCAGAGAAGTCCCGCTTTAGACTTGCTGATTCCCAGGTCCTTCAGCCGCAGATTGATTTTGGGGTGCTACCTCACCAAGCGGAGAGAATGAAAACAAAACACCACATTAAGATGACGCTCTCCCATTCTTGCTTAAACCTCACCAGCTTGTGTTGACCTCCAAAGCCGTGAGATCATGAAGCTTTCCTGTGAAATCACCATAAAGCAGGCCTAAGATGAGCCCATCACAAGAACAGCATGATGAACCTGACTATTTTGTCCATTCAAGCAAAGACAAACCTTATTATCCCCTTATTAGACTATTTTGTTCTAGCTCTCTTACCTTCTCCTCTCTCCAGTTGTCCTTCCTTGACTCCTCTCTCTGCATAGGGAAGAGTCCAGGCCCTTGAGCAATTGGGCTGCAGAGCCCACTGTACCTATGAATTAACTGGAACTTAAAGAAATATAGGAAAACTTACTTTAGTGCATCTTGTGCTAGGTGTAACAGTGCAAGGAGATGTAGATGAACCATTTGACATTCAAATATAGCCCTTTCCAATCGTCCTGCAAATCTTGTGCTTTTGATGGCTTTGTCTAAAGAGGCACTTATTCCAATTTTCTCTTAATGTTCTCATGTTGTTCATTAGCATAATCAGCAGTCATTTGGCTGTAGGATTAATCAGTACAGTGCTTCAATAAACTGCTGAAATTGTGTTCAGGTTTAAATACTGAGTCAGTGTTCTGTTACTGCTGAAATGTTTCCTATTGGGTGAGAGAAGGGACTTGGGTTTACTAGGGATGGGCACAAACCAGCTCACAAACTGAAGTTTGTCACAGATTTTGGGCAGTTTATAGTTCATGAAGCAAAGTACATGGCAGGGCAAATGGCACAAACATCCCACGAACTTTCAAGCTGTTTGTGGGGGTTCATGAATGGATACATATCCAGACAGACTATTCCCACTCAATTAAAATGTTTACATAACTTCAAAGCAACAGGAGGGTGGAATTTTACATCCTTAAAAACACCAATAGAGGCCCTCCAAAGCTTAACAGGTACTGCTAGTTGCCAATAACAGAGTTCCTCAGGGGTCATTTCATAGACAAAGAGGTGCAGGAGCTCATTAGCATAACTTATTAGCATAACATTTGCATATGCCACACCCCATGACATCACCTTGTGTCAGAAGGCAACACCCACCACTGAGGCTCCACTGGACTCTTTTGGATTGCTAGCTATTGGGGTGGGGGGACATGCAGATCTGTCCTCACAGAGGAGGGAAAACTTGTACCTGAGTAAAACTTGGTCTTAAAGGTGCCACTGGACTGTTCTGGATTGCTAGCTATGGGGGGGGGGACACACAGAGATCTGCCCTTACAGAGGAGGGAGAGCTTGTACCTGAAGGTGGGCCGGGGGGGGGGGCTCTGCAACTTACCTGGCTGCTTCTTGCTCCTTGTGGCCCAACTGAGGGCTGTTGGGAGCAGGGAGCGGGGCTTGTTGCATCCTTACTGCCAGAGCTCCGCTCCTGTGCGCTCCCGCAGGAAATGACCCCTGGAGGTCCGATTCTATTCTATGGGATCAGGACGCTATATATACCCTCCGCTCAGCTCTGCAGGCTATTCCCTGTGGGCAGTTAGACAGAGAGGCAGGGAACTTGTTAAAAGCAGAACATATTCATTTATTCCTAACTGTGAATATGAACACTTCTCCCCTGCTGAGGTTTGGGTGTTAAGATGGACTCAGGGCTCTGAGCCATCCTGTCTCTCTGCTCACGCCAAGCAGAGGGGCTTAACTACTAAGTGCCTCAGCTGAGCACCCACATCTACATGCTCCTGATTGCTAACTCCTCTCCCTGCTGGAGTTTGGGTGTTAGGTGGACTCATGGCTCTGAGTCACCCCATATCTCTGCTCACACTGAGCAGTGGAGCTTAGCTCCTGGGTGCCATGGCTAAGGACCCACATTTTATACACTCCTGATTGTCTCCTGATTGTGAACTTGTCCCTCCTGCTGGGGTTTGAGTGTTAGGTGGACTCCAGGCTCTGAGCCACTTCATGTCTCTGCTCATGCAGAGTGCCTCGGCTGACGAACCACACCTCTCCCTCACCATCACCTCTGCCAAATCCTCTGCCATTGCATGCCTGGCATCCCCGCTGCTGCTGACCTCCCAGTTCACCACTGACAACCAGTAGTGGGGTTTCTCCCTGGTTGGACTCTTTGAGGCAGAGGTGCTGAGCTGCAGCTCCTCCTCCCCAGGCTCTTCCACCCACTGTTCCCTCTGGCATGTCTCTTGGTGTTCGCCGAATGGCTTTATCTACAGCAATTGGCAATTTATAAACTGGTTCTTGCCAACTA